TGATGAAAATGCCCAAGAAAAAAAGTAAAATAAAATAAAGGAAGATAAAATAGATTAAAAGTTTGAGAATTTAATTAATAAAACACAGGCAAATGAAAATTGCATAAATGAACATTTTTATAACTGAAATTAAGAACTAATTCATGGCTTTAATAACAGATTTGGCAGGATAGAAGAAGAGATTAGTGAACTGGGAAATCAGTCAATAAAAAGTATCCCACCTGAAGCATAAGAGAAAATGAGTAGAAAATAAGGAAATAGCATGAGGGACACATGGAACATGCACGGAAAGTCAAGCAGATGTATATAATTAGCGTCCCAGAATGTAAAAGATAATAGCTGAGAACTTTCCAAAACTGATAAAAGGCATCAATTCATATTCTCATATTTTCAAGAGACTGCAGACCCCCTGCAGCAAAGATTTAAAACAAACAAACAAACAAACAAAAACAATCCACCACCACCAACAACAAAAAAAAACACGACACCTCAACTCATTGGAGTCAAATTGCTGCTGCAAATCAAAGACCAAAAGAAAAGCCTTCAAAGCAGCCAGAGAAATAAGAAATACTATTTTCAAAGGACAATCACACTAATTAGCTCTATGTAGAAGTAAATTCATGACAGTAGTAATGCAAAATTCAGGCACTGGGTAAAAGGTTTTAAAAAGTTCTAAGGTTCTGGCAATATTACAAATAAGAGTAATAATTAAATTACTACTATTTAAAGTAATCATTTAGATGAGACTCTAGTAGGACAGGGTTGCATGATGTATTCCCTAGTGTTATGCAGTATGGCTTATCTAGTGAATTTAAGAAGAAATAAGATTAATCTTATATATTTTTCAGAGAATAGAAGAAGAAGAAACATTTTCCAACTCATAACTTTATACAAAAATTCAAGGACAGTATAAGAAATGAAACTGCAAACAAATCACCCTCTGGAACATAGATTCAAAAATTATGTAATAAAATATTAGCAAATCAAAATTGGATTTATCTAAAAAGGATAGTACCTTATAATTAAGTGGGTCTCCCCATCCCCAGACATGCAATGGTGGTTTAATATTAGAAAATTAGTCACCTTAATTTAGCGAATTAATAATAAAAAGGGACAACAGATTTAGTTATATAGATGGTTTCAGAAAAAGCATTTGATATAATTTAAAATACCTTCAAAATTAAAAAAAAAAAAACTTTTGGCAAACAAGGATTTAAAAAGACCCTCCTTAATATATGAAGGAATCTAGTATAAAAACAAAAACAAAAACTAATGCAAACACGATTAATAGTGAAATTTTTGAAAGCTTTTCTCTGAATATGGGAATGAGAAAAAGATGCCTACCCAACCATTCTATCCAAGGCAATCCTGAAATTCCAAGAAAGGCAAAAATACAATAAAGTAAAATAAAAGTCACTAGAATTTAAAAGGAT